CGACATACTTTTATATGTTGTTGCCGTTGTTGATTTTGTTGTTGTTTCTTTATTTCATTTTTTATTAACGATATGAGCATCGGTACGTATGTAATATCTTTAGGCACTTTGTAAATAAGTATGTATATATGCTTGTCTGTGTGTGCGTGTTTGTGTGTCGAAGGCTATCTGAGCTAATTTAAATTCAATGGAATTTTATAAAAATTACAACAGCAACTACAAAAAAAAAAAAAAAAAAAAAAAAAAAAAAAAAAAAAAAAAAAAAAAACTAAGAGAGCACCTTACAATAAACACTATTATATGAAAACAAATTTAATTGATAACATCAGCACAGCAGCCATCAGTGTATGATTATTGAGCAGTTTTATAAATTATATACAAATACAAACATACACATGTATGCATAATTAAAGATGTTTTATATGTGGACAAAATAAAATAAAAAAATAAATAAATAAATAAAAAAAAAATACAAATACAATGAATTTTTTTTTGTACAATTTTATGAACCGTTAATTTAAGCAGTTTTAAAAACGCAGAAAGTAATAAAAATGCCTACCAACCACAACAAAAAGGTAAAAACTCCCCAATGAACAACAGAAATAACTAAACCATAGGTTACATAGCCTTACATGTGGTCAAACATATTTTTAAACATTTTTCTTTTTTGCTTTTTATTACTTCTTTTTTGTAGATTTTCAACCAAAAATCCCTAAGGCTTTAAGTTAAGGTATGAAATTAACAAGTGCAACGGCGGACCAAACAACCAACTAACCATACATATTTTCTATATTAAAAGGAAGGTTGTTCAGCCAAAATACAAGAATCCTTATATTTCCTTTTAATGAAGGTTTTTAACACTTTTTTTCTTTCATATTAAAAAAAAAAAAAAAAAAAAAAAAAAAAAAAAAAAGAAAAGACTTTTCGTTGTTTTCATTTACATTATGAAAGCTTCAGCAAAACGTGATCTTTGTAGGTTACTTGAACTCTCTCAGCAGTTTAGGTATAAAACTTAAATCAAGCACAGCAAGAGTATAATCATAACAAACGAAAATAACAACAATAACAACACGGAATATCTTGTATTACTTTGTGTTGCTTGCGTAACACATTCAACACACACGCGTATCCACATACACGCGAAAACAAAACGAAGGGAAAGGTTTGCTTACTTCGTTCATCAGATTAATATATTAATTTTTTCATTGCGTTTGCAATAAAATGCAGAAAGTCATGGGATATCTTGCGAGATCTTGTAACATGTATACAGTTTCGATTTGAGCAATATGCTTCGGCGATTCACTTTTATGTTTTTTTCTTATCTGTGCCTCACTTTCGCGCGTCCTTCTAATATTGAATCCGTATGCCCCTCTTTTTCTTCCTCTCATCATCCATCTATGTCCAGTAAACGTCCATCTGTCTGCCCAACCGTTTATTTATTTTTCTCTTAACCTTTCTTTCCATAGTTGGGTTGGCCCTTCCTTCTATCCATATTTCCTCCCAAATGTCAGTCTCTTTTTAATATTCCTTTTTTATTTTTTTATCGATTTGTTTACTCTTCCGTCTATCTTTCCCTGCGTGCATCCATGGCTATACGTTCATCTGTTCATCTCTCAATCTTTCGGCGTGTTCTTTTCGCGCCGAGTTCGTCCGTCTTTTTCTATTTATCTTCTACACTGCCATTCTGCGCGTCGTTTCACGCATTTGTTACATGATCCTCTGATCTTCTTCATATCTTTCCGTTCGCTTGTTTTTGCCGGGATATATACCTGCATCCATTAATTCTCACGTCTGGCGGTCTGGTTATTTTGCTATTCGTCCCTCTATTCTTTTTTGCGTATCTCTGCGTTCATCTACACGCCAAAGTATCCGCTAATCGACCCACTCTGTTGTACAATCTTTCGCATTTTTTTGTGTCCAGCTATTTCTGGTCTAGGTGTAGTCTCCCTTTTGTGTTTACGTGTATTTTTAATCCTACCTCTCCTAGTCATCCACCGTTTAACCATCCGACGACCCGTTCATCCATCCATCTTTCTATATTTTTTATCTCTTAGTCAACCTATTAATATTTTCATTGTTCACACGTCTTTTCTTTCGTATTGTCTTCCACCTATCCCATTGTCTGCTCTTCTATCTCTTCTTCTTATCGTCGTTCTGTTTGTTCTTCTGTACGCATTATAAGGTTTGTTCTGCAGGCTGTCTTCCGATCTGTTCTTCCATCCGTTTTTCGATCTGTGCTTCTCTCTGTTCTTTTGTTTGCTTTCTCGTCTATGTTCGATCTATGTTCCTGGCATTCTATCTATGTTCTTTGTGTTCTTTTGTCTTTTCCTTCGCCGCTTACTCCATCCTCCTCTTTTTTCGGCCTACTTCTTGCTATGTTTTTAGATTGTTCTACTTTTCACCCGGTTCCGCTGTTTTTTTCCTGCTTATCCTTTTGTCTGTCCGTCCTTTTTCTATTTTTTCTTCCTATTTATTTGTTAATATCATTGGTTCATCTGTTTGTACGGCTTGTCCTGCCTCATCGTCCTGCCATCCATTGCTCTCTACTCTCTTTCTTATCCACCTTCCTTTTAGTCTATCTATCTATGCATTAGTTTTCCACCTGTCTTTTCGGCTATTCATCGATCCATTCACGTTTAGCTCCTTCCCTCTTCATTTATCTATCTATATAAAATATAGTTAAAAAGTTGACGGTTGCGATGGAATATTCTTCGATGACATTTATCAAAACCTGCCCGCAATGATTAAATAACAAAAAAATTTTTCAAATATCATGATTGACTAAGGGAGGCTACAACTGACCCACATCAATGCTCGCCGTTAAAAAAAAGGAAAACACAACTAAGCGGTTTTAATGTATTTACTTTAGATGATGGGCATCCAAGGTACGCCTTAAGGTGTACTATTCTTGGTTATTTTTCACATTTATAATGTCCAACAAAAAAAAAAAAAGTTGTTGATGTTGTAGTTGATGCTGATAATTTCATGTATCGATTACATATGTATGAATGTCTTGTAACGCAGCATGATTTTTTCTGTTTTTTTTTTTTTGTTTTCTTTTATATGATTTTCAATAAAGTGCGTTCGTTAAGAAGTCTGCTAGCCAGTCAACCGGCCAAGCATTGATACAGTCGATAGTCAAGTCAGTTAGTTAGTCAGTCAGGCAGTTGAACGATGTGCTTTTAGCTTATGGTTGTTGTAATGAATTTGCGCTGCCACCACAACGCCACAAAGAGTTGAGGTAACATTAACCAATGAAGCATTAATACTTCAAGGTATGATACACACGCTCTTAGTGGTACGTACTCAGTTACACTTGCACACACAGACAAAGTCACGCTAATAACTGCGGGAAGGTAAGCATATCTAAGTAAAAAGGTTTAAAATACCAAAAAAATTCGAAATCAAAAAAAAAAAAAAAAACATCAAACAAACGGTAAGTAAAACTTTTTATGGAAAAGGGTTTTTATAAATAAGTTATTTATTCAGTCTAAGGGCTAAGGTTACTTGTAAAGTTTGTATCGATGATCCTTTAAAATCTTTTCTTCAAATTTGTAACTTTCGTAAACTTTTACTTAAAACATAAATGCAAGCAATTTAAAAAAAAAAATAATATATATATATATATATATAACGAATGTGAATGCAACGTACAAACGATGGGATTTTGGTTTCTCAACAAACATTAATGTTGCGAAGAAACGTAAATAAAATTAAAGTTAAGCATTAAACTGACAACCTTAAAATATGAACTAAAAACATAAAAACAATTTGACATAAACACTTTTGCTTAAAAGCAGAACAACATAAAGAAGAAACTTAAAAAAAAAAGACTTAATAAAGTGTGAATGTTTTGTAATTTTGGTTGAAAAAATGTTATGAAACACAAAAATAAAAAAAAATATATGTATTTTTTTTTAATGTATTTTCTTTGACTTAACAACGGCTCTGTTGCACTGTGTCATTGATTGACGCCTACTTTTACAAACTGTCACCTGACATATTCCCATGACAAGCGTACAAGATTGAGTTTAACAGCATTTTTTTTTCCTTCGAGCTGTTTTATGCAATAAAGTAAAAGGCAACAACAATATGTTGCCAATTTATTGTTCTTGTTGTTATTGTTGGAGTTTACTTACCTTATCGCAGAAAACCTTAATTTGGCAATAGCCTCGATGGAAGACTTGTGTGTCACGGGGATCCTCAAAGGTATCAATTTGTATATGAAGAGGCAGACCCTGAAAAATTAAGAAAAATACAAAAAAGAAAAAAATAAAAAGAAAACGGAAAATAAATTTAATGGGTTTACAGAAAAAAATAAACAAAACAGAAAAGGAAATCGTTTAATATAAAAACTAAATAAATTAAAGTTTCTTATAACAAATTCATTTCATTTCGTTGTTTTTATTTTTCTGCAATTATGGATTTTAAAAATTTTTTAATGTTTAAAGCTTTGATTGAGTGATTTTTATGACTCGCATAACTAACAACATCCGCCACAACTTAAAAAGCAAAAAAAAAAAAAATTAAAAAAAAATACAAAAGCAAACTCTAAAATAAGCAATCGACTCGGAGTCGATTATATATTTCATTTGAGACGTGGTATGTCTAGCCTTCCACTAAACCCAATCAACAGAAATCGGAAAATTTTTGAAAATTTTTGTTCTTCTTGTTATTAACTGCTTCAAGATAAATGCGTATATGATAGTTCATCAATTCGATTTTCAAACAAAGCTGTTGAAAATTTCCGTACGGAAGTTTTAAATCAATACCATTTTTGCATTTTTATCTATCTGTTTTTAAGAAAATCGCATCCTGTTTTAACTTAGGTCTTAGGTTAAAGTGTTAAAGTCGCAATCAAAAAATATAGCTCTGGATAATGGTCGGCATGAGTGTGGACATCTGTCTCATCGTGTTGTTGGTCCACTAGAATACATTCTTTCAAGTTTTGTGAGCATTCTAACATCTCATCGATGGTCAGACGAGCGAAGCCAAATCGGCTCAAACGCTCAGTATTTACATATTAAAAAATTTCTGGGCTAAAGTACAGTGGGAAGCAATGGTGCTTATGTTGAGCTGTAAGAACGACTTTTTGAAAGGCGTTCCATGGCTTGTAAGTGCGAGCATATTTTTTGCATAGCTACAGCGAGCTACATGCAACGGCATTGTCTGCAAGCGATACTTCTTATCGCAATATACGCACTAACTACATTACTGCTTATCGAACATAACGGAAACCTATACAGAGTGACATGCGCTATATTTCAAGATAGACAACATAATCTGAATTATGTTTAGATGTAACCTTTTAGATATTTATATATATATATATGTAATCTGGGCTGTTTTATTGCATATATTATCGAGTGCAGGAGTGCGGGTGTGAAAGACAAACGTTTGATCACTCAGCTTATTGTTTAATCGATACGAGAGATAAAAGTTTCAGGAAATATGAGCCAAATACTTCTGCTTATTACGATGACAAAAGAGTGCAAATAATCAATTATATATACAATCTTTTAAAAACAGTTGGCAAACTCAATATTTTGGTTATTTTTGGGAGAAAAGAGAGAAGCACAGAAATATTTTTTAAACTTCGTTTTCGTTTCATTGTCACTTAGAATTTTAATTGTTCATCGAATTCAACCGCAGAGATTCTTAAAAAACGTGTACATAATTGCGATACGTTTTTTGCCATTGCTTGAAATGGTGTTGAAACAACCAGCCGGCGACGTTGAAACTGCCCCGTCTTCTTGTTATGATTATGACAGGTAGCAAACAATAAGTCAACTATTAATTACATGCTGGTCATTTCATAGCCGAGGGCGTTACATACTTTTATTGCATTTACACAAAAAGTTAAAAATCTGGCGAGTTTTAACTCATCACAAATTTGTGCTGAGTCATAATAAGTCTTCTCCTTAGCTTGTTTTGCGTGGCAAAGTACTATTCGTCCCTCCTAAAGCTTACTCTCTGAGGCTGTTGTATGATAAAATTCAGTTGTAGTTTAAAGTTTTGTAAGTTTACATTAAAAGATTTCAAATAAAAGATATTGACGTTATATGTAAAAATATTGCTTTGAGGGCATTAGTAATTTATTAAAAATGTGCCACACTGTTATCCTTTATCCTTCCATCACAATGTATATCCTTTCCTATGAGGGGAAAATTACAATGTACAAATAGTTTAACTACCTCGAAGGTTTGCTTTCAGTTATGGATTAAAGACGCGATAAATAAAAAATATTCATTTTATCACAGCTTTGTACAGAAAGTATTCGAAAATGTATTGAAAAGCAGTCGTGCTGTTTGGCAAATACTTGAAAACGATCTGCCAGCTTTAACTTGTTACAGTGCTTAAGATGTGAAAGCAGTTTACTTGCACATTCCTGAAGGTACTTCTTTAATCTAAAAATTCCTTTTATAAGCACTTCCAGAAGCGAAAACTTGCTCATCAGACCTACCAAATCTTAGTTGGAACGCTTTTTTTTGTTCTTCGTTGTTAGAAGAGAAGATATCATGATAGATATGAAAAAAGAGATTCTCCTATGCACACTCTTTCCCAATCAATCAACTTTATACTCGCTCTGACGAATTCTAAAGAAAAGCAAAGAAAAGTAAAAACATTGCAATGGGACCTAGCCTCTTTATATATATATATATATATATTGGCTTATTCATATAACGAAGTGGCCGAAAAAATGGTCGAGTAGAATGTGAATCCTTCTTTGTTTAGCTTCACTTGCTCAGCGCACTGCTCGCCTTTGGCATAACCATCCTGTAATGCTCTTATGCTCTTATGCGGTACTTACTAGATTTTGAGTTATCTTTTTTGTTCATTTTGTTATTGTTCTAAATGCAAAACTGCACCACATAGCGGTATAGTAAGTCAAGGGCAAACAAAAAGGGGATTTTTTTGTGAAAGCGTTCACGACTATCTGTTATTCGTGAGGAATATGAAGAAAAGATTCCTTAGGTATTCTAAGACTTGTACTTTGACATACAAAAACCGGTATATTAATGCATGTTTAAAGTTGTATACCCTTAACCTGGTTTGGACAGGGGTGAATGAAGAGCTGCAGTATGCGACATGATGTAGGGCATTCAAGAGGCGCCTTGCCCGGCTATAGCGTTTCTATTTCCATTGCCCTATTGACAGTGCGCATAAGGTGTTTCAGGCTTTTGCCATAGAATCTTCTCCTCAAGTATCAATTAACTGGATTTTGACTTCAAATCAACCGAACAGTCGATCAAAAGAAAACGAAAATAAATTTTTTCAGTAAAATTAAAATAGTGCTCAGAAGCGTATACTTTTATTTTCTACAATTTAATTGTTTAACGCATTTCGTTACTTCATTACGAATCCGCAAGACTTACTATTAACTTTGTATTTGCATTAACTCAACTCTGACTGTCTAAACACAATTCTTTACTGCGGTATGTTTAACAAATGTTTTATTTCTATGGCTTTTACGTGTGGGTATATGTTTATACCTTCTGTTGACAGACTGGATCTCCCGAGCTAACGATTTTACCTCTTTCTTTTCATTTTCTTTTTCCACATTTTCTGCTCGTATGTGTCTGCCGTGTATTGTCATTTTGATAGCTTTGACTTCCTGATATTTTTATGACCCGTGCGTTTTTTTGCCTTTTTCATGCAGTTTTTTTTTTTTTTTTGGAATTGTTCCTCTGCGATTTTTCCTGTTCTGAAAGCTGAAAATACCCATGAAAAGACGCAGTTTTCATACGATTTAACAGGTAACGAGAGCTAGAAAAACGGAAGTCCACGCTACAGAGCTTGTATCAGAAACGCTTCGAGGATTAGAAAACGTGCTGGCACAAGTGGATTATATCAACAAAAGATTGCTTTGGCGGGTATAAAACAGGTATTAATGAATAAACAAATGTTTTTCGAAAATAAACAAATGCACGTTTTATTGAGCAGACCTTGTCTGCATGCAGACCTACTTATCACGTATTCTCTTTGAGGCAGTTATTAATCATATAAATGGTTCTGTAAGTACGCACGAGTGTAGGAGATTTACAATTTCAAATAAATTTCTTCTTCGCACGCTCGTACTCAGTTGGGTCGCTCGTTTTATCGCTGAATGTATACATAACATGTACAAATAGCAAACGAATTAAAGCAAGGGTGATTCATGTTCGTACTAATGGCTCCTGATAAAGTTCATTTTATGCTATTGCATTATGTACGAATTCCACACAGAAATGTGTAGAAATTTATTGAAAATGTTTGGTGGAGGTGCAGTTGCTGATGGAACTTACTGAAGGTGGTTCAAAAAATTTCCGAATACGTGGTGTCGACCTTTCTGGCAAGCCGCACTCTGAACGTTGGTTCTACTTTAAAAAAAAAAATTCTTTTTCGACAGCATCGGAGGTTGCGGAAAAGCTTGATTCGCCTTAATAGACTATTTCGAGCGTAGGATTTTTGGAAACTAGGATTTTGTTTTATTCGAAAAATGAAGAGAGCGATATGTGAGGAATCAGAACTTTAGAGCAAATCTACGAAACTCCGAAGAAAGAATAGCTCTAATCAATCCACTAATATGTTAATAATTTACAGGAAATTCTAACGATTTGTCGTACGTTTGAAAAAGAATCAGCTTTAAAAGTAGTTTAAATTTGTGATGGACTTAACAAAAAGCAAAATGTGAAAATATTTTTATAATTTAAATTTTTTTTTCTATTTTGTACAAAATGATCTGGAAAATTACTTGACCAAAAAGTTGAAAAATAAAGAGAAAACAGCGGAAAACAAAAAAGAAAACTACAGTTTCAACCGCATTTTTAAGTTTAAGTCACGTTATTTGAAATGCACGCACTCAAAGGCATAGAAACGTTTCCAATTAAATGTTATATATATATATATATATATAATCGCATATCAAACGTTATTAATAGATATAATATTGAAATAAAGCAAATAATTAACGGAAATCGATATTTGTGCATTAAATATGGTTGGAAAGAAAAAAAATTCAAAGAAAAAAATCGAAAGACTTAAGCAACAAACTAGCTCATTATAATATGCCGTGCAAAGTCTGCTAAAAGTTTGAAATGAAATATTTTATAATGTTTAAGAAGAGATTAACATTTAAATGACATTTCATTGAAATGTGGTGAGAGGAGCATAATTAATCGATTTAATGTGTGGTTAGTTAAAATGAAAAAAGGGCAAAACAAAATGCAAGAAGAAAAAAAAAAAATTGGAAAAAAATTAATGTTACCCCGATGAGTCTTGTACCAATAAGTATGCAAATGAACATAAATATCAGCATTAAACAAACATGCAAATCATTTGTAACGTGTTTTAACAATTTCTTAGATTAGCGTCGTACTCTTTTTCTTCATAAGCAAATAATAGCAATTACGAGTAAAGAAAAGCAAAAAAAAAAACAAAAAAAGTAATGAAAAAATGAAAACCGATAAATTTTAATGCAAAGGCCATTAGTTATATTTCTTGATGTGTTACAATAATAACGAGAAAATTTGCTATTAATATGTTAAAAAGCAGCACCGGTAAGAAGAAGTAAAAACACCTGTAGACTCGGTGTTGAGGTTATCAATACATGACGACAATTTTCTTCGATTTCATGTTCATAAAAAGTGCTTGCAATAAACTCATCTTTCAGTTTTTCAGTTATATGATCGCCTGTCTAAAGGTGTACGTGTATATATGGGTCTCTCTGTGTATGTTAGTATGTATGTATGTATGTATGTATGTATGTGTGTGTGTGACAACATAACGCTTGTTATCTTAATTAAAAAATACGTTTTTACAACAACAACATGTAACAACAATAAGGCAATGCACGCATATATTAAATTCATATGACTGAACGTCCGTCCGTCTCTTGATTGTCTCTGGACGTACATATACCTACATACATACAATTTATATTTTTGTATGGATAAGAAATTTATAAAAAAAAAAAAATTAAAATTGAAATAAAATTTGTTTGTATGTAACACGATATTGTAACCACAACTGCAACAATATCAGCAATAATAACAACAAATTTCAATATCAGGAATGGAAACATACCAAGCAAAGAGAATATTACACACATTTCTTTCGATCGGTAAAGCGCTCTAAATTTTGTCACCTGTTAGCACAAGGAACACATACACACGCATACACTTTTTCAAATAAAAAAAAAATAAATAAATAAAATGCGCCCACTTGTCAAGTCATTAATAATAAATAATTTTTTTTTAAATTTCTTTTAAAAAAATTCAAATGTTAAATGATTATTACATTGTTGCTGTTAGTGTTGTTGGTTGTTGGTCGTTGGTTGTTTATGGTAAGCATCTATAGAAAAAATGTTAAAATAATGAAATATATACGTTTGTCATACATGACAGATTGCATACATTTTCAATATTGCCGTTGCTTTGTCTATAAGTTCAGCGTGAGATTGCGAGAAAAACGAAGGAAAAATGCTCTGAAAATTTATTGAAATTTCTTTTTTTTTCTTTTTTTTTTTTTACAACACAAAGATGCAACATGATGCGTGAAAACTATAAATGTAACATTTGCAAGTATGTATGTATATATATGCATGTACGAACATACATGTACGCACATATATTACGATATAAACAATTGAAGCCTTGTTTTACTTTTTGTTTTTTTATTTTTTATTTGCTCCTACAAGAGAAACAGCAAAACAAGACACTTTATGCTTTTCATGTGCGACACGATGTTAAGGCAAATGTTAAATCGATATTTTATTGACAGTTGCGGCAGCAGCACACAAATAGGCAAAACATGTTTATGCCGTTGTTTGCCATAGAATACAATATCAACTAACTTGCTGACCAGCAAAGCCGGCTATAGTTAGCTTGGCCGCGCGCGTACCATATCACATCAACCTGAAACCAACGCATATAACATGAATCTTCTTTTTGTTGTTGTTCGCCTTTATTTTTCGTTTTCTTCTTCTTTTTTTTGTTTTTTAATTTTGCTTTGAATTAGTTAAGCAAAAGGCAATGTGCGTGTCTCTCAACTGTGACAGTGCGTTTATATGTCTCGCACAAGTGTTTATATGTCTCAATGTTGCGTTTTAATAGAAATCCAAACATTATGTAGCCTCACACTTTAGCTCAAGTTACATCCACGCCTTTTATTATTAATGTATATTGATATATACATTGTATATATATATATATATATATTTGTACATATGTCTATATATGTCTATGTATTTTTCCTTTTTTACTTCTTCTGCTTCTTCTTCTTTCATTTTTATGTTATTTATGTGTTCAACACCAACTAGAGTCGATTATCAGTATTATTATGGCTGAATAATAAAAATGATTTATAGCAAATATGTTAAATTGTAACAGTTTTTACATATGCGAGTGCGTGCGAGTATCTGTCTGTTTTTCTTTTTTTTTCTTTGTGAATAATTTTTTCTTTACATTTAAAAAAAAAAAAAAAGGCCGTGAATTTCTCTCTGTCACTTGTTTTATGGCACTTTGATAATCATAAATCATAAAAAAATTTCTGCATTAAGCAGACCTAAGATTGTTAAAAGATCATTAAGAGCGACTAGAGTTTACCTTAAATTGGATAAACAAATTTTAGTTAAAATCATTTTAAAATTGAAAATTACTTTTTCTTACATCATTCGTTTGTACGACAACTACACACATAATAAGTTTGTGCGAATGTATGCATGTATACCCAGAAGGATTTAGGATAGACCGAACTTTTATTATACAGAATCATTCTTTTTAAATTCTTCTAAGCTTGTTTGTCTGTCTGTCTTGTTTTTTTTTTTTTTTTTGCCCTAGAAGCTTGGGAGCGGACCACTTCTTCGATTATACTTTTTCATCCATACATATATACATACATACATATATGCGGAGATATATGTATACACATGTAAGGGGAATTACATATATAAAGATATTACATAAGATATAGGTACGTGTGTATACATCTAAGACACTGTTTTACTTTGATAAAATGCTTGTCAATACCATGAACAAGTGTTTGTTTCACCCCTAATCTACCACGTGTGAAACATATAATTCGGATATGCCAATACAGACCATTTATTGAATTTTACGTCTCCTCCTTTCGAATACCCGTAACCATGCTTTTGCGAGTTGTGTAACCGATAATTTGTGCCCCTCACTTTATAAGACAATCGTGCATTACTTAAAGGGCCTATATCAATGCTTGAGAACCAGATATGAGAATTACTGTGTGACCTAAGCTCTCCCCTGTGGACAAAGTGTATCTTGTAATGACTCTAATTATTTTGTACTGACGCGATTTGGGGTAACCACAGCCAACACAATACTGCGCGACGTCCCGTATCTAGCCGCCAGCAGCTCCGTGGCTTTCACGCACGCATAAACTATCGAGGTTTGCACATTGAGTCTCGCGCTTCGCTTAATTCCTTTTATATATATATAAGCTTTTAATTTTTCTTAAACAAAATCCTTCAAAAGACAAATATATGCGCTTTCTTTACCTTTGTTTTATGTTAATTTTTATTTGTTGCATAAGTTTTTTTCTTCCTGTTATTAATATAACTAAATAAGTTTTCAATAATAATAATTGCTACTCACCTTGACACCCTTCTGACTGCTAAAGTCTGTACTCAAACATTGCACGGCGATATTAATCTGCGAAGAAATAAGGAAACGAAATGTGTTCATATAAACAGACATCTTGAGCTTAAGAAAATCATAAAAATAAATAAAAAAAATTATATAAAAATCAAATAACAGCAACAGTAACCGTAATGTTTCGCTACACAAAAAAAAAAAAAAAAAATCGTTTGTATAAAACGATGACATTTAGTTATTTTACAGCATTTGTCATTTGGCTATTAGTTGTTGCGAAGCCTTAGCAACGAGAACAACGACGAGAAAAATGAAGAGGAGCAAGGAAAGAGTTGAGTCTCTAAAGCTAACAGCAACGATACGAATAGCTTTTATAGACGTAATCATTATAAGAACGAACTAAAACAACAACAACAACAATGCAAAAAAGCATAACACAGTTATGCAGCGACTGTCATCTAAGATGATGATGATGATGCTTTTATTGCTGGTTTGAACGAACTTTACAATAAATCACAAACAGAAGAAGGAGATCAAAAACTAAAAAAAGAAAACCAACAACATTTAATTTTTATTTAATACCCTAGTAACGCTCATCATCATGCCTGCTTTTGCAAAATGCGTGTGTTTAGTTTGGGTTTTTTTTTTTTTGTTTATTTATTTGTTTGCTTCTATTCGTTTGTTTGTCCGTTTGTTTGTTTAAGGTAAAAACCATTTTCTGTGGAAATGTGTTTAAAAACATTTCAAATATGCTACTGATGGTGATGCTGCTGCTACTGCTGTTCGCGATCGCTTTGAAAAACTAAAATGAGATGAAATAAAACAAAACAAAACAAACATATGTATATATAGAAAACGTAACATAACACAGTAACATAACTATAAATATTTGTCTGTATTTAAGTAATACAACAAAATAGAAAATCCATCATCAGGTAATAAACGCATGCGATGCAAAACTTGCGAGAGGCCACCATATACATATATATGTTATATATATATATATATATATATATAAATATATATATAAAGATAAAGAGTTACAAGTATGCATGTGTGTGCGTGTGTGTGCCCGATCGTGTATATGCGGTTAGTATTTAATGGCAAAGTGCAGCAGTATTACAGCAAACGGCCAACGGCATTTAATGGGAATTAATTAGCGAACAACACAGCAAAGACCAAATACAGGCTAAGAGCAGAACGTAAGAGCAAATGCAGCAGTAGCAGCGGCGTTGGCAGCAGCATCACAGTAGCTACAAAAATAGTTAGACATTACGGGCATAAAATATATAAACTGAAAACCATTTCATATGACGATGAGTTTTTCTTTGTTTTCTTTTTTTTCTCTTTTGTTTTTAGCTAAGATGGACAGGCGTGCATTTTCTGCACGCACAAACGCACACAGACACAATTGTGACAACGTTTTACTTTATGGAGAATGAAGGAAAATGTTTTTAGCAAACAATTTGTAAATGATTTTCCAACACATACAACGTAAGTAGTAATCGCATATAAGAAAAAATTAAAAAAAAAGTATTTTTAAAGCTCTGACCATAAATGTGCGTTTGGCAAATTTCTATAAACATTTTTTTATGCCACATATAGAAAATAAGCAACAACAACCGCAGCAGCAGCAGCGAGCAATAGTAATAGCAATCACAATAGCAGCAATAACAACAACAAAAGTAACAACAATAAGAACATGAAATGAACTAAACAAATAGAAATAGTTAGTGAATCTTACGAGCAAATCACACATCCGTAGATAAAAAAAAAAAAAAGAGTAAATAAAAGTAAAACAAAAACAACAAAGAAATTAATTAACTTGATGCTTAAACAGTTCGAGAGAAGAACAAGAAAAAACAAACACAAAAACCACACAACGAAGGCGGTTAGAGAAACGTTAAAGCAACACTACCACCATTTGCAATGGTGTACAACAACAACAACAACAACAAATAAATGAACGAACGAACAAACGTGCCACACCTGCTATGGCCAACAAGTGTTCTGATGGTTAAGACCATTATTATAATCATTATTATTACTATTATTATGATTATTGAAAAGCTCTGCGGGGAATTAAACACAAATCTTAATGCCTAAGCTTTAGATACCATGTAAGGTTGCTATTTGCAGTATATGCATGCAAAAAGAACACACACGCATGCACAATCTACGCCATATGAACATATCTGAGAGCATGAAATAACAGAGAGATAAAGCAACAGTAAGCACACAACACACACAACATTTACAACAAATTGCGTAAATTGTCTTGAAAATATTTGCAATGCATTCACGTCTCCTTAAGAGAAACAGAATCTATTGTTTCGTTTCGTTTGGTTGTTGCTGCTGCCTTTTTTTCATAGGAAAATGTTACTTAAGAAGGATTGTTTTTCTGTTATTTTGCATAGATTTCCTATGAATCGATAAAAGACTTTCAGCCATTTCGCTCAAACATGCACATGTACATAAACATATTATACGGATGCAGCGGCAATATATATCGCCATTGTGTGACATATGTGCGAATGTCAATTCACAAATCAATGATATATGATAGCGATTTTCTTCTCTTTTTTTTATAACTTTCTGCCTATCTTTATATAGTTATCAGATCATTAAGAGGACAATAAACTTGTGAAAATTTGAATAACACTTTTCGTATAGAAGCATCCTTGGGATTTAAAGTTCAGTGAAGCTCTAAAAGCATAGATTGTAAATCGCTATTACTGATCGTTATAGATTTAGTATCACAGAGAGGCATATGTCAAAAAAACCGGTTTTCTTTTTTAAATCATGCGTCTAGTATGTATATATGTATTCTATAGTCGTTGAAGGTCTAGAGATAAAACAGAAAGAGTTTTAATATAAAATGCTCAAAAAAAATTTGTTAAAAAAACATTTTCTAAAAGAAAAATTTAAAACGTTACAATCGCACAAGTATGCCTGTACGTACTTCCTAAGCCACCAGAATAGAGTTAGAAATTTGATAAAAATGTATTAAGAATTTTCATCATAGTAAAGTGGTTTTTTTGAAAAAATCTTATATGCAAGTGATTTAAAGTCGAGAAACAACTTAAAAGATCAAAACCTTATGATTGTGCAAGGTTGCTTTCAAGAAAGAAATTCATGTGGATGAAGCTTCGCGTCGTTGCTGCACCGAGTTTATTCTGGTTGTCGGCATCAAAGACTATCCGAGATACCTGGGAGCAGAATTCATTCCTTTCGAAGAAGAATTGTCTAACAATGAAACTTTAGTTAGTTATTCATCTAAAGGGGTTGGAAAGCATCCCTTCAAAGAGAAGCTAAAAACTTCTTTTATTTCATTTTATGCGAACAACCGCTGATTGCATGTCCCTTAAACGTGGAAAGATGCTGGTGATTGCCATTTAAAAGCTTACGTATCATGAAAACCCTTACTTTGAGGAATATATGAAAAATAGACGGATCATAAATATTAAATCTTGTTGCTAAATAAAATCTTATTTTTCTAATGAAAAGAAAGGATTCAAAAATAAATAAAACGCTTAAAACACGTATTAAGTATAAATACAGATAGACGGACAAACATTCTTGAGCCAGCTCAGAAAATGATTTTAAATCGATTGATAGAATGAAAGTCGGGTACATTTCGAGGGAATCGGAGCGAAACAACCGATTGTGGTCGTCTTCACTTTTACTGCGACACCCTTATAAGGAACAGTTAGGAATTATTGATAGCAACAATCGAAATTTTTTAAGCTTCTTTGTAGCTCCTGCTGCGATACTATAATCACCTAAACTGAAAGACTATTAGCATCCATTTCTTCAATCATTTTGGAAATAAAAAGGTAAAAAAGATCATCAGGACAATGAGAACACAAGTTATAGTTTTTGCTCTCCCAGCAGCTGCTGACGTCACTACAACTAAAGTGTAACATTGTAAAAATTCCGCAACATCTATGAAAAGGATATCAGTTCTAAAATATTCTCTCACTGAAAGTGAATGAGAAGCTGCTAAACGCTGCGCAGTAAGAGCCTTGGAAGTCTTCAAGATCCCAAAATTGAAAAAATTAATAAATGTCTTAATACCGGATCGTACTGTTACGATGCCGTGCATACTGCAAACGCGCGCTGTGAATTTGAAGGACTGAACAAAAACGTGTCAAATATAAAAACTTTATAAGCATGGGGTTTCCTTCTACTTTTACACGACATTAAGGCAAAAACGTGTTGGCAACACCCACCATGAAATCACCATTTACTTCTTTAAGTGCTTTATGCATTGTTCACAAAAAAATCCTCTGTTTTAAGCCAACGATCTCACACTTCAGCTTTTTATTGATCACTCTTATTTCGGAAACGTTACGAGCAAAACACTTGGTAGAAAGATAGGCCTATAGATTTGGAATTTCACAATGAACAAATATATACATACGACAGACTTCCGTTGTTGAAAGTGAAAATCGTATTTTGTTAGAAAGATTAAAAATGTAACGGGTTTTTTTTTTTTAAATATAAATACTTTTAATATCACGCAGCTACAGTTGTTGTACAAGGTATAACCTATATAAGTAAGTATGGAAATGTATGTAGCGCCAAGAGGGACTTCAGGTAGCTTCGCCTTTTATTGTACGTCGCCTTGTGTTGAACTCCGCAAAGATATTTTTTAAAGTTTTCCAAATCACCTCGCCAAGCAGTCTCTGTAACTACGAATGGGAGAATGCGATTAAAACTAAACATTCTCACTTCCATTTTCGTCGTTAAAGTTATTAATAAATGTTAAGAATAAATAAAATATATTTTTTTAATATCTATCTGTACAACCGAAAACCGTGAGATTTCTTAAAAATTTGATACACTAAAGCTTTGAATTACGATAGTAAACAAGATCACGGAAAAGTCCCCGTCAGAGAAGACACAAGACGTGCGTATATATAACGAAATGTTAGAGATTTTTTATTTACGTAGCAAATAAAAACCAAATTGCTGTTGTAATAATGAAATCAAATCAAAATTCTAATTACGCTGCAGCCTTATATACCATAGTACAAATCGAAATGCATAGCAAGTTA